TTTTTTTTTTTTTTGCCTTTTCTTGAACTCTGTAGCCATAAAACAAAGCCCCCGCTGCCTGTCAGTGTCAGGAGCTGCACCAAGAGCACAAAGTGACAGAGTTTAACAAAAAAAGGAGTCCCAGGATGATCTTTAAGCCATGCTGAGTCTGATGTGAGTCTGCACTGAATGCAGGGGAAAAAAAAGCAGAGTTATAGGGTCTAGGTTTGTATAATCCCTCCCTCCCATTTGTTCCCATCACAAGTGAGAGGTTTTAAGCTCGTGGAGCTGTCATCTGAGTGTTCTTTATTTCTGGCTCGAGCTGCGTGGCCAGAAATAACATTTCTGTGACTGTGAGCTCTGGCTGCTGCAGTTGCTTTCCTTGGAGCTCCAAGGAAAGTTCTTTCATTTGCTCCAAAAGGGAGATGTGACAGCTCTGCCTGGATCAGGGCTGTCACTCCCAGTGCAGCTGGTCTTGTCACAACTGCAGTTCCAGGCTGATTAACCCCCACCTTCCTTCTGCTTCCATCTAAATGTGTCTTGTTCAGGCTTTCAGTAAATCTTTTCTGTGTGTAGTGATGCCACACTGGGTGCTAAATGCTGTCCAAAACACTCTAAAAGATCCTTGTGCTCTCTGCTGGCTGAAATGTTTGATGGGGTTTTTTTTCCCCACCTTGTGTTCTCCAAAAGACTGAAACCTCCTGAGAGGAGAATTATTTCTCTGGCAAGCTGAGCCGCTGTGTGTGGTGCCAGTGCTGCTTTCTTGTCTCTGAGGAGAAATGCTGAGTCCCTGTGCTCAGAGAGACGGCAGAGCACTCTCCTGGTCAGGCCTGCAGGGGTTAAAGTGAGCGGGAGAGCAGGGCTGCCAGGGGATGGTTGGTGTGCCAGGGAGAGGGAAACCTGCTCTAGGTGGGACTGGATGGTGTGTTTGTGGTTCTGGCACCAGCAGGGAGCATCCTGTGTGTTCCCAGCCCTCTGGGATCCTCTGGGAACATCTGGGATCCTCTGGGATCATCCTGTGTGTTCCCATCCCTCTGGAATCCTCTGGGATCTGGGATCCTCGGATCCTCTGGGAGCATCCTGTGTGTTCCCAGCCCTCTGGAATCCTCTGGAATCCTCTGGGATCATCCTGTGTGTTCCCTCTGTGCCCCTTGCCAGGGGTGTCTCTCGAATTCCCCAAATTTCTTCATTCCTTGGGCACTGTCCAGGCTTTCCCATGGCTCATCCAACCCTTCCCACATCCCGAGGATCCTCAACCTGCCTGTGGAATAAAGTCTGTCTGGAAAGGCTTCCTGTCTGTTCCTTGCTGGGGTTCCCGTGGCGCTGGCAGGAGAGGGAGAGTTCTGTCACTGGTGCTTTTCCCCCCCTGGCTCACCCCAGGCTGGCTTTGGTGAGCACCCCAACATCTCCCCAGGCTGTGCATGGCCCCAGGCCAGATTTGGTGAGCACCCCAACATCTCCCCAGGCTGTGCATGGCCCCAGGCCAGATTTGGTGAGCACCCCAAGATCCCCCCAGGCTGGGCTTGGTGAGCACCCCAAGATCTCCCCAGAGCAGCCTGCAGCTCGCTTTGCTCACCCCAGGTTGGGCTTGGTGAGCACCCCAAGATCCCCCCAGAGCAGCCTGCAGCTCGCTTTGCTCACCCCACATCCGCATCCCTGCGCCGCTCCGCTCCTCACCGCCCGCCCAGGGAATCCCTGGAGCTCCTCCCAGCCCATCCCTGCGCTCTCCTCACCCCAAAAATCCCCCCCTGAGCACAGCCCCGTGCTCACTGCTGCTCCTCTCTCCACCCAAGGTGGCCTCCAAGAAGAAGGAGAGGAAGCTGGCGTCGGACGAGGAGCTGTCGGAGCAGGACGCGGACAACGGGAGGTTCTCGGATGAGGAGGTCAGCTGCTCCCTCAACATCACCGATGAGATGAAGAGGATGTTCAACCAGCTGTGAGTGTCCTGGGAAAAGTGCTCCCGACAAAAGTCCTGGGAAAAGTGCTCCTGCCTGAAAAACGAGGTGCACTCGCTTCAGGAAAGGTTTAAAATAAATAAAATGACATTAGGAGACAAAGATAATGAAGCAAAGGGTTCAAACGGCCCTGGAGCGCTGCCAGGATCACACCTGAGATCTTTGGAAAACTCCTTTTATCCCATTCTGCTGGGATATCCCATTCTGTGGGGTTTTGATGCATATTCATATTTTTCCAATTTTTTTCCACATTTTTTTCCATTTTTTCCAATATTTTCCCATGATTTTGCATGGCCCTGAATCCTCCTTTTTAGAGCACGCGTTTTAAAGATTTTATTTCCCTTTATCACATTTTATTTATCATGTATTTTATTTCTGCAGACCATCAGTGCTGATAGCAGCCTGGGCACCATCACCTGCAGGTTATCTGGATTTTTCACTTCTCCACTGCTAAATTCAGTGTGACAGCAGGCAGCCTGTGTGTGTGTGGATTTTTTTTAAATAAAAAATAATCAAGAAGTTAAAACGTATTTACGTTTTAATTTCATCAATAATAAAAAATAAACTATATTAATACAGCTAAATTTTCTTACTTTCTGCATATAACATGAATGATAATATTTGTGAAAAGGCAGTAATTTAATGTGTAATTAATTAATTAAAGGAGTGAGGGATGGGTTAATGGCTGCTCTGCTCTGCCAGGCGTGAGACGTTTGATTTCGATGACGACTGTGACAGTTTGACGTGGGAGGAGAACGAGGAAACGCTGCTGCTTTGGGAAGATTTCACCAACTGCAATCCCTCCATCGACCTCCAGGGAGAGGTGAGATCATTCCCAGGGTTTTTCCAACTCTTCTTCCCCCCCAGTTCCTCTTTTAGAGACAAAAATATACATAAATATATAAATATAAATATATAAATATATATATATATATATATATAAATATAAATATATATAAATATAAATGTATATATATTATTATTAATATGTAACTGTTTAATATATTTATTAGTATAATTAATAGTAGAATTATATTATAATTATAAATTATGTATTGAAATCATTATTTATTTAAATAATAAATAAATTCTTTAAATAATTTATTTAATTTAAAATTATTAATTATTAAATTATATTAATTATATTGTATCTATAAATTATATAAATTATATATTACAGAGAATATAATATATAAATTATATATTATATAATAGAATATAACATATTAATTATATATATTATATTAAAATTATATTAAAATTATATATATAAATTATATATTAAATTATATTAATTATATATTATATAAATTATATCTTGTATAATTTAATAATTATAATTATTAGATTGAATAATTAAATAATTAATTAATTATTATTATTAAATGGATGGGTTGGGATTGGCAGGGAATGGGCTGGGAATGGCTGGGAATGGCTGGGAATGAGCTGGGAATGAGCTGGGAATGGCAGGGAATAGCTGGGATTGGCTGGGAATGAGCTGGGAATGGGTTGGGAATGGCTGGGAATAGCTGGGAGTGGCTGGGAATGGCTGGAATTGGCTGTGGTTGGGTTGGGAATGGCTGGGAACAGCCTGGGAATGGACTGGGAATGGCTGGGAATGACCAGGAATGTACTGGGAACAGCCTGGGAATGGCTGGGAATGACCAGGAATGTACTGGGAACAGCCTGGGAATGGACTGGGAATGACAGGGGAGTGGTTGGGAATGGCTGGGATTGACTGTGGATGGGTTTGGAATGGCAGGGAACAGCCTGGGAATGATGGAATGGGTTGGGAATGTTAGGGAACTGGGAATGGCCGTGTCACTGCATCCCTGGAGCAGCGCAGCCCTGGGAGGTGGGAAACATTCCCGCTGCCTCCCGGCCAGGGAGGATGCCAAGGCAGCAGCCTCGGGAACGCCGGCTCCTGTTCCAGCTCCCCATTCCTGGATCATCCATGAGGAGCTCCGGGAGCCTGCAGGGATTTACCGGGAAGCGCTGGGGAGGAACCGCGCTGAGCCGGAGCGGGGAGAGCGGCAGAGGGATAACGGGATAACGGCAGAGGGATAACGGGATAACGGGAGCAGAGAGACACCGATAACAGCAGCAGAGAGTGGCAGGGTGATAACGAGGAGCAGGAATTAATGAGGGCTCATTTGCATACGCCAGGGCCTGGCTGAGCGCAGCAATAGCGCCGAGCCCAGGCCCCGCGCGGGGAAACTCTTTATAAATAAAGATTTTAAGAAGCTTAAATCCTTCTAAATGAAAATTATCCAAGGAAAGGGTAGATTTGGCTTGTAGATGGAGGTGCAGAATAAAGAGTTCTCCGGCTGTGCCTGCTCTTTAACATGTGCTTTACATGCCGGAATCTTCCTTCCGCGGGTTTTATTCCTTTCAAGTCCTCACACGCTGCCCTCGCCACCTTCTTTTATGACCTTCCTCCTTAAAGCTCTTCTGCATATAAAAGGATCAGTGGGATGATTCTTGTTAACTCCAGGTGTAGGAGACGCTTTCTGGGGACGGTCTGAGACACGGCAAAGACCTCTATAATCGAGTTAGGTGTTAGAAGTTTATTTCAGGGTGTGAAAGAGAAAGAGAGCCTGCTATGAGCCAGCAGATAGAGCTCAAAGCAGGCTCAGAGAGAACAATACAAAAGGGGTAAAATATGAATACATGAGCTCAAGACTTAAGAAGAGAGTGACAGAAGAGAAGTGAGAGAGCCGGGGAAAAAAGAAGAGCAAGAGTGTAGAAAGTGAGGCAAGAGGGCTAAGAGAGACCAAGAGAACTTAGAAAACCAAGAGAGACAAGAGAGACCAAGAGGGCTAAAAGAGAGAGCTAAGAGAACCAAGAGAGCGAATTCTCTTTTGCAATTACTTATATAATCTATACATTTGAATATTTTATTCCTTTACTAACCAATCTTTCTAAGTATACTAATACAGTAACATTTGTGTGTGACCTATAGAAATCGCTGTTTTTGCATATTTTTAGTTATCTCAGGGTCCTTCAGACCTTTCCTTATGAGGCTGGGGAGAAGGGTCTCAACTTGGTTTTATTGGGGGAAAGAATGTGTTCTGGCATGCCAGATCAGTTTATTTGAATTATTCAAACCGTGCTTTCATTTGTATTTCTTCCTTAGCCTTTCTGGCTAAAGAAAAGCTTTATTTTATATATTGTATTATATATATTATAAATATATTATAAATAAATATAAATATGTATATAATATATATAAATATATAAATATATACATATATAAATATATAAATATATAAATACATAAATACATAAATATATAAATATATAAATATATAAATACATAAATATATAAATATATAAATATATATAAAAATATATTTATATATATATAATTATAAATTTATTATAATATATATTATAAATATATTTAAATTATATATTTATAATTTCTTTCTAATTCTGCCTTCCCAACACCCAGGCTGGTGTGGGCACGGGGAATGAGCCCTGTAAATCTGACATGGCCAGAGCGTGGAAAACTCATTTAACGCTCATTTGTTTAATTGGGGGTAATTTTTTAATGGGAGAAGAAGGAGGTTGAAGAGCTGGAAGAGGGAACGGTGACGTTGTCAGTGGCTTTTTTGGGCAGCTCTGTGTGTTTGGAAGCTCAGACTGTGCTGTCAGTCCAAAGGAGGAGCGTTTGTTGCTGTTTTATCCAGGAATTCCAGTGGGAATCCAGTGGGATGTGCTGGAGAGTGATGATACACAAGTGGAAAATGAGAATTCCAGTGCAGGGAAAATTAAAAGTTTCATGGCTGGAGAGCAATTGCAGCGTGTCCAAGTGTGATCAGGCTGTGAAAAGCTCAGGAAAATCCAAGGGGTTGGTGCCTTGGGATGCATCAGGTGCATGGATTTAATTCCTGGAGCCGTGATCAAACCTCACCTTTGTGGTCATGGCACAGAGATGTGATTTCCTGGGATTCCAGATTGAAGAATATTCCTTAGCTGTGAAAAAAACATCTTTAAAAAAATCAGTGCATGAAGGGATCACAATAACCTGCATTTCCAGGAGAGGTTAAATAAAATGTTTGGTTAAATAAAGTCTTTAGTTAAATAAAATGTTTAGTTAAATAAAGTCTTTAGTTAAATAAAATGTTTAGTTAAATAAAGTCTTTAGTTAAATAAAATGTTTAGTTAAATAAAGTCTTTAGTTAAATAAAATGTTTAGTTGAATAAAGTCTTTAGTTAAATAAAATGTTTAGTTGAATAAAGTCTTTAGTTAAATAAAATGTTTAGTTGAATAAAATGTTTAGTCAAATAAAATCTTTAGTTAAATAAAATTTTTAGTTAAATAAAATTTTTAGTTAAATAAAGTCTTTAGTTAAATAAAATGTTTGGTTAAATAAAGTCTTTAGTTAAATAAAATGTTCAGTTATATAAAATCTTCAGTTAAATAAAATGTTTAGTTATATAAAATCTTCAGTTAAATAAAATGTTTAGTTAAATAAAATGTTTAGTTAAATCTTCAGTTAAATAAAATCTTTAGCTAAATAAAATGTTTAGATAAATAAAATCTTTAGTTAAATAAAATCTTCAGTTAAATAAAGTCTTTAGTTAAATAGAATCTTCAGTTAAATAAAGTCTTTAGTTAAATAAAATCTTCAGTTAAATAAAATGTTTAGTTAAATAAAATGTTCATTTAGCTCCCGAATTCCTGTGTTTCCTTGCTGATTCTTTGTGTCCTTTCCCCTGCAGGAAGAAAACCTGGGAAACTTGATCCACGAAACAGAGTCCTTCTTCAAAACTCGAGACAAGGAATACCAGGAGACAATAGGGCAGATAGAGGTGAGGAAGGGGAATTGTTCCTGCAGTGTCCTGTCCAAATATCCACGAATTCAAAGGCATTTCCCTCTGCTGTGCCCTGGGGGTTTCAATAAATTGATATATTGAAAATATATCAATTTGAATTTTTATATTTCAGCATAAATCTGAGGCTGCTGCAGGGAGAACCTGCACAACAAAAGGGAATAAAATAAAAAATTATTATTATTTTTTTCATATTATTCTTTTTTTCCCCCCCCTCTGTGTTCTGCATGTCCACCCTCACCCTGGGAAATGCTTTGTGACCCCACAGGTTGCCAGAAACAGAATGCCTGCATTTGATTAATTAGCGCTTTCATTAATTACCGTTGACAAACAAGGTGCCAAGAGCAGGAGAAACCCTGCAGGGCTGTTGAGGAGCAGAGTGAGGCTCTGCCTGCCCTTCCTGGGCTCATCAGTGAATTGATAATCAGCAATTAATTAGATTAAAAGGTTTAATTTTAATTAAAATTAATTAATTAATTGAAAGAGCTGGGGATGTTTGGGTGATGTTGGAGTCTGGGACACAGAGTGTGCCCTTGTTTGTGATATTTAGTTTTAAGATCCAGAGAAAACGCTGAATTTCATATAACATGAAATATGAAAATAACATGAAAATTTCATATAACATGGCATGTATTTCATATAACATGAAATTCATGTTTTCATGGTGATACATGAGAACAAATGTTAGATAGAAAAAGCTAAAAGTGTGTGTAGATTAAAAAAATTTTCTCGAATCACCGAGTGAAAAATTTAGTTTAGAGAACAAGAGACAAGGTAGAGAATTTAAAAATTAAAAAAAAATTAAAAATACAAAAAATAAATAAATTTTAAAAATACAAAAAATTAAAAAATAAAAAAATAAAAATTAAAAATACAAAAAATAAAAAATTAAAAATACAAAAAATAAATAAATTTTAAAAATACAAAAAATTAAAAAATAAAAAAATAAAAATTAAAAATACAAAAAATAAAAAATTAAAAAATACAAAAAATTAAAAATTAAAAAATACAAAAAATTAAAAATTAAAAAATAAAAAAATTAAAAATTTAAAAATACAAAAAATTAAAAATTAAAAAATAAAAAATAAAAAAATTTAAAAATACAAAAAATAAAAAATTAAAAAATAAAAAAAAATTAAAAAATACAAAAAAAATTAAAAATACAAAAAATAAAAAATTTTAAAAATATGAAAAATTAAAAAAAATTAAAAATACAAAAAATCAAAAAATCAAAAAATACGAAAAATAAAAAAAAATTAAAAATACAAAAAATAAAAAAAAATTAAAAAATACAAAAGAGCAGGAAAACCAGGATTTCACCTCATTCTTTGCCCTTTTTTTTGCCTCCAGCTGGAGCTGGCCACGGCCAAGAGCGACATGAACCGACACCTCCACGAGTACATGGAGATGTGCAGCATGAAACGGGGTCTGGACGTGCAGATGGAAACGTGCCGCAGGCTCATCAAGGGCTCAGCCGACAGGTACCACCCTCCTGCTGCTCCAGGAGATCTTCCCTGGCTCTGCAGGACACAAAAAAAATCACAGCAGCCGAGGTTTTGTTTTCTTAGGAGGCAAAAATTGCTTTATTTTGGGGTTTTCAGCTCTTTTTATGAGGTTTTTTACAAGGAGCAGCACCCATCCCAATGATGGGACGAGATAAAAACGCTCTTGGTAGCGCTCAGGAACACTCCAAATCATCAATGATTATATGAAGATGATTTATTTAAAGAGTTCTGGGTGTCAGGGGTTCACAGACCCAAATCTGACCCAATTTTTGGTTTTTATACTCTATCATTCTATAATTTACATATTAATTATTAAACCTACATTGGATGTTCTATTGGATGCATTGTTTTTACCCAAGCCTGGATTTCTCGTGATCCCCCTCAGCCCCCTAACATTGTTCCTCATGTTCTTTAAACAATAATTATATCTAATCACATCTAACAATTAAATAATTTATCACATAATGATTTCACAGGTGCAGTTTCACCTGATCTTAGCAAACACAAGGCCTAACATTTCCAGGACCAACTTTTCCCAGGGCTTTCCAAACCCAACTTTCCTTTTAAATCCCGAATTTTCGAAGATTTTAAGACTTTTTACTATCAACAGCAGCCAAAATTTTGTTTTCTTAGGAAGCAAAATTGCTTTATTTTGGGGTTTTCAGCCTTTTTTTGAGGTGTTTTACAAGGAGCAGCACCCATCCCAATGATGGGACGAGATAAAAACGCTCTTGGTAGCGCTCAGGAACACTCCAAATCATCAATGATTATATGAAGGTGCTTAAATATAGATAAAATATTTAATTAAAATAAAATGTGATTAAATATAGATGTTTAATATTTCATATTATATAACATACTCTAATATATAACAATATAACTATATATTTTATATATGATTATAGATTTATATAACAAAATCTATAAATTTTCTATAAATTTTTATACATTCTATAAAATTACATATACACATATGTTTTATACAACTTATATGACTTTTATAAATTCGGTCCATTTGCATATTGGGAATTAATTGTCCAATTACAGCTTCAGGTGATGAAGTCCCATTCTCTCAGTTTTCTCCCCCAAATTTGCTGCTGTTTATATTTTTTTGGGGCCTGAAGCTGTAATAATAATCAGTTCTCAGGCTGCAGAAGGATTGTTTTGTCTGAGTAAACTGTGAGGAGAACTTGCTAACACTCTACACAAAGGTCAGAATTGTATAATAATGGAGAATGTGAAAAAATGTGGGAAGAAAAAAAGAAATAAAAAATTATTTATAAATAAAAATTTATTTATAAATAAAAAATCATTTATAAATAAAATATTTATAAATAAAAATATTTTAAAAATAAAAATAATTTATAAATAAAAATTATTTAGAAATAAAAATTATTTCTAAATAAAAATCATTAATAAATAAAATTTATTTATAAATAAAAACTTATTTATAAATAAAAAAATATATTTAAAGAAAAAATAGGAGAGCTGAAAATGAAATTTAAAGAGCTCCAGGAGCAGCTGCTCCTCAGCACAGGCAGCTCCAGCTCAGGTGGACTTTCAGTCTTCAAAATCTCAGATTTACAACTCTTAAAACCCCAAATTAAATCTCAACTCTGGACTTACACCAAGAACTTGTTCTTTAATCTTCTCATGTGTGAAGAACCTTACACTCTGAGGGATTTCTCTTTATCTCTCGCTCAACCCCAGTAGAACAAGATGATAAACTTTTAATTTTCAGGGCTCTGGGCATTAGGGATGCTGAGAGTTTTTGCTCCTCATTTATTTCCCCATCATGGGACAGCCTCTGTGTCTGTCACCTTGATTTTACCACTGGTATTTACCCTAAACCTAAAATTTAATGTTATTAAAGAAGTTTTTAAATAGCTTGGGGGAACTCCAAGTTTAATGTTTAATAATTCATGTTAATAAACAGGTTTTTAAGGGTTGGGAATGGAAAGTGACTGTTTTAAGAGGGTTTTTTTTGAATTCTGTGATTGATATTTAATTTTCTGGCTGCACTTTTTTATTTTGATATTTAATTTTCTGGCTGCACTTTTTAATTTTGATATTTAATTTTCTGCCTGCACTTTTTTATTTTGATATTTAATTTTCTGCCTGCACTTTTTTATTTTGATATTTAATTTTCTGGCTGCACTTTTTCCCTGCAGGAATTCTCCATCCCCCAGCTCCGTAGCCAGCAGCGACTCAGGAAACACAGACGAAATTCAGGACGATTTGGACAGAGAGACGGACGTGGAGCCCATGGTCAGCTGATAGGAAATGGGAAGAATTCCAGAAAAAAATTCCAAACCAATTGCTGGGGGAAAGGTGAAAAGACTCGAGTGCCCCCACAGAGGGACTCTGAGGACTCATTCCTACACACATCCCCTCCCTCCCAAGGATTGGTGCTGTACATTTCTATTCTTCAAACCATAAATGCAGAGTTCTGTAGGAAAACACGGTGTTTTAATTGTGCCTTTGCCCCAAGCTGAGCCACTTTGAGCTCCAGTGGAATATTAATAACAGGTGTTTTTATAAAAAAAAATTATATATATATTATTTAAAATAAAAACCAAACAACCAAAGCTGGTTTTGGCAGCAGAGGATGGTGCTGGAGAAGCTCTGGGTACTTCAATAAGTTGCTGGTTTTATTGAACTGCTGAACTGATTGGCAAAAGCAACACTGGCAAAAAAAAAAGAGATAATTGTGGTGCAATTAGGAATGTCTGGCACAAAAAAAAAAAATAAAGGAAAATAAAAATGAAAATGAAAAGGAAAGGGAAAATGAAAACGAAAATGAAAAGGAAAAGGAAAGGGAAAATGAAAATGAAAAGTAAAAGGAAAGGGAAGAGGAAAAGGAAAAGAGAAGGAAAAGGAAAAGATAAAGAGAAAGAAATAAGGAAAAGGAAAAGAAAAATGAAAAGGAAAAGATAAAGATAAAGAGATAAAGATAAAGAGATAAAGAGATAAAGAGATAAAGATAAAGATAAAGATAAAGATAAAGATAAAGATAAAGATAAAGATAAAGATAAAGATAAAGGAAAAATGAAAATGAAAAGGAAAAGATAACGATGAAGATAAAGAGATAAAGAAAAAGAAAAAGAAAATGAAAAAGAAAAAGAAAAAGAAAAAGAAAAAGAAAAAGAAAATGAAAAAGAAAAAGAAAAAGAAAAAGAGAAAAAGAAAAAGAATTGCCTCCAAATGGAACTGCAAACATTTAAAAGTGAGTTTGGAGAGAGCTGGTAGGGCGAAGCAGTTCTAGAAAATTCACAGGGTTTTTCTTCACCTGACTTTTTTGGGGTGAGGGAACCTTTGGGATGTGTCCAAGGACTCCAGGAGCTGGAGGAGCAGGACTCAGCTCGGTGGCAAAGCAAGGAAGGGCACAGGAGGGGTCACTGGTGGTGGTGGGGGGAATATCACTGAGTAACTACTATGCAAAAACATAAAAACAAACAAACAAAACAACAAAAAAAAGCTCGCCTTATTTCTATGGAATGTTTTATCCCTTGGGAAAAGGAAAATTTGCACTCTTGGATGTCTGTGGAGCTCCTTTGGAGGTGGAATGTTTGGATCACAACGCCTTTGTTCCCAGTGATTGGATTAGGAGGGGAATCAGCCCTTCAGCTCCCTGGTGGTTGGTGTCTTTTATTTTTTATTCAGGGTTTTCTTGTGTTACTATTTTATTTTTGAGCAGTTTGCAGATTTTTTTCCTTTGCTGACAGGGAGATAACTCCGTTTTCTGCTGCTTGCAGTGATGTGTGGAGCGAGGAGCAGGTGAAGCAGCAGCATAAAGTGACCCAGATGTAGGAGCCAGGATTTGGGAGAGCTCCAGAACACTGGGAAAAGCTGAAATCCCTTTTAGGGCGTAGAAAACCAAACCCCAAACCTCCCCTAGAACTGGGCAGGAACTTTCTCTGTGAGAAAAGCAGCAAGACCTTGGCTTTGCCCATTTTTCTGTGTTTTTTACCCAGGAGAATCAGCATCAAAATCAGATCAGGCTGGAGGAAACTCCAGCACCAGCGAGTTAAAATGGGAATTGTTGGAGGAAACTGTTAATTCCCGAGTTAAAAAGGGAATTGTAGCACCTCAGCCAGGTAAAAACAGGGTAAGAAACCTCAGCCAATAATTTTTTTGTTTGTTTTTAAGCCAAGATTGAGGGTGTAGTTTGCTGCCCAAAGGCAGAGGTGGGGTTGGAACTCGGTAAATACCAAATGTGTTTTCTTTAGCCTGCCAGGGGGTTTGGAATGTGCAGGAGCTGGGCAGGGAAAATCCCAATTTCAGCAGCCTCTCAGTGTTATGGAAAAGCAAAATGAGCTTCCCAAGTGGTGTTCCCAACTTCTGGAGCATTGATCCGGGATCTGTGGATCCACACAGAGCACAGGTGTGTTGGAAAATAACTCATTCCTGGCTGGAAACTCCTCAGCCTGGGGGTTCCTGCTGGAACACAGGAATCCTTCCTTCCCAGGAGTCCTGCCTTCCTGGGAATCCTTCCTTCCTGGGAATCCTTCCTTCCCAGGAATCCTTCCTTCCCGGGAATCCTTCCTTCCCAGGAATCCTTCCTTCCTGGGAATCCTTAATTCCCAGGAATCCTTCCTTCACAGGAATCTTTCCTTCCCATGAATCCTTCCTTTACAGGAATCCTTCATTCCCAGGAATCCTTCCTTCCCAGGAATCCTTCCTTCCCGGGAATCCTTTCTTCCCAGGAATCCTTCCTTCCCGGGAATCCTTTCTTCCCAGGAATCCTTCCTTCCCGGGAATCCTTTCTTCCCAGGAATCCTTCCTTCCCAGGAATCCTTCCTTCATTGGAATCCTTCCTTCATGGGAATCCTTCCTTCCTGGGAATCCTTCCTTCATGGGAATCATTCCTTCACGGGAATCCTTCCCAGGAATCATTCCTTCCTGGGAATCCTTCCTTCCCAGGAATCCTTCCTTCCCATGAATCCTCCCTTCCCAGGAATCCTTCCTTCCCAGGACTCCTTCATTCCCAGGAATCCTTCCCAGGAATCTTTCCTTCCCCTCCTGTGTTGCTGGCAGCTCCATCTCCCACCTGGCAGCAGCTTTGAGGCCACGGGGTTCTGAGGATCTCCCGGCCTTTTCCAGCCTGGGAAGCAGGCAGATCCATGAGGATCCACAGTGAGGATCAGCTGAGGATCCACAGATCCTCATTTTCTCCATGGATCCACGGATATTCCCGTGCTGAGGGGCTCCAAAGCCTGCTCTGTCCTGGAAATGTCGATAACTTTTTTTCCTCTGGAAGAGAAACCTCATTCCAAAGCGCTCATTCCTGTTATTCCTTAGGTGGCCAAAGTGGTAAATGTGATCTTCACGAGGGGGCTGGGTTTGGGAGGGGGGATTTGGGGGATTTTTTGGGGCTGCATGTTTGAAATCTGCGATCTGAAGGGTCTGGAAGGGTTTGGAAGGGTCTGGAAGGGTCTGGAAGGGTCTGGAAGGGTTTGGAGGGGTTTGGAAGGGTTTGGAAGGGTTTGGAGGGGTTTGGAAGGGTTTGGAAGGGTTTGGAGGGGTTTGGAGGGGTTTGGAAGGGTCTGGAAGGGTTTGGAAGGGTCTGGAAGGGTTTGGAAGGGTCTGGAAGGGTTTGGAAGGGTTTGGAAGGGTCTGGAAGGGTTTGGAAGGGTCTGGAAGGGTCTGGAAGGGTTTGGAAGGGTTTGGAAGGGTCTGGAAGGGTCTGGAAGGGTTTGGAAGGGTCTGGAAGGGTTTGGAGGGGTTTGGAAGGGTCTGGAAGGGTTTGGAAGTTCGGCTGCTCCCGAGGCTGAGGAAGTTTCTGCCCAGGCTGGAGCTCTGTGATCCCGCAGTGCCTGGGGCAGGCATTGCTCAGCACAGGGAATCAGCTCCTGGAGCCTGTCCCTGGCTCTCTTCCCCCTGGGAATGTTCCTGGAGCTCCAGGAATGTTCCCGGAGCCTGTTCCTGGCTCTCTTCCCCCTGGGAATGCTCCTGGTTTGTTCTTTTTCCTTAAAACTCAGCATCCCAGTAGGAAAAAGGCCGAGTGTTCCCAAACCCAGGAGCTGGAGCTGTTGTGCTGAGGACAGGGAATTCATGGAGCAGGAATTCTGTGTAGGATAAAGGAGGACAGGGAATTCCCAGAGCAGGAATTCTGTGTAGGATAAGGGAGGACAGGGAATTCATGGAGCAGGAATTCTGTGTAGGATAAGGGAGGACAGGGAATTCCCAGAGCAGGAATTCTGTGTAGGATAAGGGAGGACAGGGAATTCATGGAGCAGGAATTCTGTGTAGGATAAGGGAGGACAGGGAATTCCCAGAGCAGGAATTCTGTGTAGGATAAGGGAGGACAGGGAATTCCCAGAGCAGGAATTTTGTGACTTTGACAGATCAAAGCTTGCCAGAGAGAGAAAAAACAACAACAACAAAAAAATAAGAATTTAATTGTAAAAATGCTGGAAATTATTTTGATGACCTCTTTCTTTTTTTCCTTTGTAAAGCTGTAAATACTTTATTTTCTGTTTTCTATTCTTAATGGGGTGTCATATTGACACGTTTTTAGATTTCCAATCAGAAAAATCCTCCTCATCCTTTCCCATTTTTTTAAAAAGGGGGATTTCAAGGAAGCAAATTTTTTTGCTCGTTAGCAGTGTAATTAACAGATCAAATTCCTAAACTGGGTTTGTACAAAAAGAAAAAACGTTTTCAGTAAACAAAATGGCAGTTTGTGGATGCATGTCATTCAAAAATATCCAAAGAATAACGTGGTACAAATGTCTTAAAGGATAATGTGGTACAAAGTCGTTTTTCAAAGATGTAGTGACGATCATCTTAGTTCACACAAGGGAAAAAAAAAATCAAAATTCTTTTAAAAAAAGGTGTTTGGGGAGGGGAGAAATGTAATGAAACTCATTAAGCTAAACGTGTAATCTATTTATAAAAACACAGTATATATTCTATTTTTATTAGAAGTTTTTAAAGTGCAAACAGATCTCTGTTGGCAGATGCAGTCGTTCCCTTGTAAATTCTCTCCTGCTGTGATGGGATCCCCCAAATTCTCTGATGTTTCCAAGGGTCAGGGTGGAAATAATCGGGACAGGTTTGGCTGTGGAGCACTCACAGGTCGCTTCCTCCAGGCCAGGCTGCAGCTCCAGCAGCTTTTCTGCCTCTGCTGTGATTTAATTCCCCTAATTTAAAATATAATTACTCAAATTATTGAAAAAAAAAATACTGAAAAATGAATTATTTTTATTTAATTCCCCTTCCCTGTGGATTTATTCCATTCCCCTGCCTGGGAGGAAAAGGTCAGGAGCTCCTGAATCCTCCTGAATCGTGGGAATGCAGAAACACAGGGGTTAAACTTAAATATAAATGACATTTGTACCTGCAGAGATCAGGATCAACACCACGAAACAAAGCCTGAATACGCACCCAAAGCTGCTTCTAAATTGAGATTATTTGAGTTTTCTTTTCCCCTGATCATTCCTGCCAGCAAAACCACGAGCTGAGGATAAAGCTGGAGCGGCCGTGGGTGCTCCCAGAGCTGCTCCCGGTGTTTCCCTTGGCTCTGGGAACACCAGGGAATGTTTGTGTTGGAAGAGTTTTCACTCTGGAGTTTGCACTTTTGGAGCGCTTCATTTTAGAGCTGAACGTTTAAAGAATGATTTATTAAATGAATAATTAATGTTAAATTGTTAAATGAAGAGATTCCGCTTCCTCCACCAGGCAGGAACATCCCAGGGAGGATTTCCCACCTTTAAAATCAGGAATTTTGGGGGTT